ACAGCTGGCAGGAAAGGTGCCTCTGGCCCTGCTTCTAACCACTGTAACCAAGTGCCATGCTCTGCAGCCACTGCCCACTTCAGCTTCTGTCGGAGCCTCCTGGAGCACACAGTGTCAGCCGAAAGTATCCCCTGCCACCTGCCTCGGACGCCGGGCACCAGCCGCACGTGGCATGACTCCCGTGGGCAGAGAGTAGCTGGCAGCCGGCCAGTCAAGCTCCTGCAGCAGCCTGGCACAGAGGCCCCCCAGGTACCCACCCACCTTACCCACCTCAGCCCCTGCCCCGCCTACCACCTCGCTGTACCTGCCGTCCCTCTCCCCTGCAGAGCCGGCTGTACCCTGACCACTATGGCCTGTATCATACAAGTCCCTCCTTGGGTGGCCTGACGAGGCCCGTGGTCCTGTGGAGCCAGCAGGATGTCTGCAAGTGGCTCAAGAAGCACTGTCCCCACAACTACCTCGTCTACGTGGAGGCCTTCTCCCAGCACGCCATCACCGGTGCCTGGGGGCTGGGTGCGGGGGAGGGGCGCGGGGAGTCCAGGAGCCCCTCCTCCTCCACACCCACCTGCCCTTGCTCCGCTCCCCGTCGCCTCCCTCTCCCTCCGGTTCTCTGCGGGCCATTTCTGCTTTGATCTGGCCCCTCTCTGCCTGGTCTCCACCCATCCTGCCTTCCTCTGCCCCTCTCCTCTTTCTCCGTCTCCTTGAGTCTCCGTGTCCTTCCCTCCTTCGCTCTCTGCCCCAGACGTTGACCTCAGCCCCACCCTCCCCGTCCAGGCCGGGCACTGCTGCGGCTGAACGCCGAGAAGCTGCAGCGCATGGGGCTGGCACAGGAGGCGCAGAGACAGGAGGTGCTGCAGCAGGTCCTGCGCCTGCAGGTGCGCGAGGAGGGGCGGAGCCTGCAGTTGCTCAGCCAAGGTCAGTGGGCGGGAGCGGAGGGCTGGCAGAGGCCTGGGCGGGCCGTGGGGCCTCAGGGCAGAGTGGAAGATGCCAGAGACCGACCTCCCCCATCCACCCCATAGCGTCCTTCGGGAGTGCGTCGTAGCTGCCGCCAGAGGCTTGAACCCCAGACCCCAGCACTGTGACCGGAGCCCGTGGCAAGGACGAGGCAGAGCTGGCTGTGCAGCCCCTCTTGGACCCTGCAAGAGGTCCCAGGGGTTGAACCCAGCCCAGGGGACAGGTGGGACCAGGATCACCCCCTGCAGCAGCCTCGGGTTGTGCACTTGGGGTCGTGCCTGGGATTGGGAGGGCAGGCCTGCTTGACTGCGGCTTCTCCTCTGAGGACCTGAGCCCAGGCCCACTCCCTGGTGCCGCTGGCAGCATGTGGGGCAGCAGAGTGGGGTTTGGGTGTCCCCACCCAGGGAGTCTGTTTATATTCCCTTCACTCACATCATTGTCCAGCCCCACTGTCTGCTGAGCCACCCATCATCTGGGCATCCTGCACTCTCCCAGGGTGAGAGGTCTGTCTGTCTGCCCATTTGTCTGGTTCTATACACTCCCCCAGCACCTGGAGGACTGCCCACCCAGGTGGGGTAAACTGCTGAAGCTCTCCTTGGTGTGTGCCCTCCCCTGTGCCCCCCCAGCAGGCCCTACCCACCACCCAGATAATTGTGAGCAGTGTCTGCATCCACCCAGCTGAGACCTGTGCCGAGCACTTTCACTATTTATGAAACAGTCACCAAGTCCCCATCTATTCATGGGAACTGAGACGAGAGAGGTCCGGGGTTGCCCAAGTGCCACGACCTAGCATGGCACAATGAGAAGAACCCCACAGCCAGCACCCTGCACCAGGCTCAGCCGAGTCCCGACTGCAGGTTTGGGGGTCTCCCTACCCCAGGGTCATGGAGACCTCCTTCAAGGCAGTCATGGGCAGGTATTTCCACTGGCCTTTGCCTAGGAAAACCTGGATTCACACAAGAGAACATCCTGAGGCCTGTGCTCCACCCATGCACCCACCAAACACCCAGCCGTCACCTGAGCAACCTCCCTGTGGGGCAGAGGGTCAGGGATTTGGGGCTGGTGCTGCCCAGCAGAAGGACAGTGACAGCTGGCAGTCCTGGCAGCCCCTTCTTCGTGCTCCTCTGCCCTCGCACTCCCCTAGGAGACATTGAAAATCTCAGAGACAGATGAGGCTGAGCCCCCAGCCCTTCTCTGTGCCCTGAGCTGCCTCTAGACGGGAGCTTGGTTGTTGCAGGTCCTGAGTGACATTTGGACAGCTGGCCTGGTGCCTGCCATCCTGTGCGCCCCCCACGGGAAGCCCCTTCATCCTACCTGGCTGCCCTGAGTGTCACTGCCCACCTTGTGCCATCCCAGTGCTGTCCTTTCCAAAGGGCCGGCCCCATCTCTGCCCCACCTCCTCCTTTGTCCTGCCCACCCTGCACCCCCCACTCCTGTCTCATCTTCCTTGTTTTGTGCTTTTTTATATTCTCACAAAAAAGCCAGAAATAAACCTGGTTCTCAAGTACCCTGAGCGTAGTGTCTGGCTCTAGCCAACTAGGCATGTCAGAGGGACAGGGAGCAGAGCCCTGGGGTGGGCCTGGCTTTGGGAGGGGAGGGTGCCCAGCTCAGCTGCCTGCAGCCAGGGCCACCAGGAAGCAGTGGTGTTGCATTCTGGTGGAGTGTCTGTTTACCCAGGACCTGGCAGGGACAAGAGGCAGAGGCTGGAAATGTGGGTTCAGCCCTGTGGACTGCCCCAACATAGGCGTGTTAAGTTCCTGGGGCTGCTGTAACAAATGACCATGCCAGAGGCTCAGCACAACAGAGACTCACAGTTCTGCAACACCAGTCTGAAGTCTGGCAGGGCCATGCTCCTGTCAGGACTTGGGGAGACACCACCTCACCTCTCCCAGCTTCTGGGGGCTGCCCTAGGGATCCCTGGGCTCATGGACATATCACTCCATCCCAGGCTCCACGATCACACTGCTTTTTGAGTTAAATCCCCATCCTAAAAGGACACTTGTTACTGGATGTAAGGCTCACCTGGATAATCCAAGGTGATCTCCTTATTGTAATCCCTAACTTAATCGTACCTGCAAAGACCCTTTTTCCAAATAAGGTCTCATTCACAGGTTCCAGAAATTTAGTATGGCTATCTTTTGGGTACCCCCGTTCAGCTCCCCACACAGGGCATTGATTGCCTTGGACATAAGAAACACACACGTCACAGCACCTGCGCTGACACACATACCCACACAACAACCAGACAACAAATAACAGAGGCATTAACTGACCACTGAGGTCTGGACACACAGAGCTACCATGACACCAGCATCCAGACTCACAACATACCCTGATACACAATGACCCCCTAGCTACAGGAACAGGTGCCAGAGCACACCCCATACACAAACACACACAGCATTACATGACATACACGTGCTGCAGCCTGGACATACATCTGCTAAGAGTTAGACACCCCCCCACCCCCAACTCTGTCAAGTCCCCGGGTATGAACAGACAGGCACCTTTCTCACCTAGTACAGTACACACAGATATACTCTGACACTGTGATGCCCAAATAGGATGCTGCTGACACGCGTGGTCATTCAGATATATGCCTATCAACAGATGATGACAGGCCCCGTGTGTGGACATGCAAATGCCCACAGAAAGCTGATAACTGGATGCACCTAAGGGCACAACTGATCCCTGCTGAAATGCTGCTTGTCATGTCAACATTCCCTGTTCCTTCTGGGGTCACAAAGGCCTCTCTCAGGCTCTGACTTCCAAGGGAAGAACTGACACGCTGACCTCTCCACAGAGGGCCCCCACTCTGCCTCTGTGTGAGCACTTTCCGCAGGCTTTGGGAGAAACGGATCCCAAGGGAGGAAAGTTAGACCCCAAATCCGCCCCCAAGCAGTGCAGTCAAACCTGCTTCAGGGTAGATGGGTGGAGGGAGGGGCACTGGTGCGGGGTGCGATGGGGCTCGGGGAAGGCGATGCAGCCTGTTAACGACATTTCCCAGCCAGCATCCCTTCCCCAGTCCCTTTCATTCCCAAGTTCTGGTGGAGTCGGTGCCCCAAACCTCCAGACCTAACACCAGCAACCCCGCCAAGCACCAGGCTCCGGGGCACAGAAGAGCAACTGCTCCAGAACCAACCCGCAAAGCAGAGGAAGGCTGGTCCGACGGTCGGTGGCCTCTAACTGCCCCGGCACTGCCAGGAGCCTGGCGATGCTCTGAGGGTGGCCACAGGGCTAGTAGCTGGGAGAAAGGCCAGATCCTACTTCGCAGGCTCAAGGCCCCGAGATGTCAGTTCAGGGCCACCAGAGGACAGTGACCTCCCCCGCCACACCGTCCCAGCCAGGACTAGAGACATCTGGCCGCTTCAATCTGCGCGCGCTCGGCTGGGGCAATACCCACCGCCCCACCGTGCCTCAGTTTACCCCACTACTTGAAAAGCGCCCTCTGCTCTACCGGCGGCATACCGGCCACTTTGCACCGGAAGCCCCGCACACGGGGCGACAGGGCCGCGAGGCCGGGGACCCGCAGGCCGTCCGGGCCCCCTCCCCCGGCAGTCCCTCCCCGTCGCGGAGCCGCCGCAGGAATACCGCGAGAGTTCGCCCCCTCCCCCCCACAGTAAAACTGTCAAAGGTGGGAGGGGCGGGAGCGCGCATGTGCGCAGCGCGGCGCGCAGCCTGCGCCGCCCGGACCCCGCGCCCCGCGCCCCGGCCCGGCCCGGCCCGGCCCCCGCCCGGCCGCCGTCCCGCGGGCGCCGCAGGTAAGCGCGCCGCGCCCCCGCCCGGACCGCGCCCCGCTCGGCCGCGCCCCCGCCCTGACCCCG